CTTACCCCTCCCTCGGTTACTGTTTCACTATAGAAACTTAAGGAATTTGCGCTTTGGCGAAAGAAGTGTGAATGAACTTCTAAAGAACTTTCATGAAACTTTCAGACAAGTACATATTGTACAAGGCATCAATGAAGTTCCAGATTAACACAGCTTTTCACGTCATTCTATGCAGAGCAACTCTGCTAAAACAGGGAGAGATGTTTTTATTTCTTTTTTAGAGCTAAACAAAGTAAATACCATAAATACTAAGTGTCATTAAATGTCATTTCAAATTATTTCTCAGGCAACTTAGTCCAAAAAGAGTCAGGACTAGCAAGTTCATTTCAAATTTATTACCAGACCCACTATTTGCACTTCAACACTCAACTAAACATTCAGAAATGTGAGAGCACCCAAAAGAAGATCTGCAGAAAAGAAGCAAGATGCTGTATGGAGATTAACCAAACCAGTCTCTCAAGAAACTGACACAGGGAGTAAGAATTTCAGGTTTACATCCTACAGAAACCAGTCAGCAACCCAACTGGCCATCAGGTAGGGCTTCAGTGTCTCAAAAAAGAATGGCTGTGACAGGCTAAAAAAGATTTAGTTCTATGTCCTATCCATTCAGGCTAATGAACAACCCTGGGTCACAGGTTGGGTTGTTTTGTTTTTATTTTTATTTGGGGGGGGAGGTATATAGTCTCACCTTGTTGCCCAAGCTGGCCTTGAACTCCTGCATTCACACAATCCTCCCACCTCAGCCTCCCAAGTAGCTGGGACTACAAGTGCATGCCACCAAAAACATAATCAAAACTTAGCTTGAGTTGTTTTTTTAATGATGCCATTACTGAAATATAATACACATACCATAAAATCAATCTACAGTGCACAATCTGATCATTTTTAGTGTATCCCCAAAGTTGTGCAATTACCACCACTATCTAATTTTACAATGTTTTTATCACTCAAACACGCCACACTCAAGAAGTTACTTCTGATTTCCCCAGCTTCTGGCACTCACTAATTTACTTTCTGTCTCTATGGACTGGCCAATTCTGAACATTTTCCATATAAATGGAATCATAAAATATGATTTGTGATGAGCTTCTTTCATTTAGCATGATGTTTTCAAGGTTCATCCATGTTGTAGTATGAAATCAGTACTTCATTACTTCTACAGTTAATATTCTATTTTTGGAAATATCACATTTGTTTATACACTTATCAGCTGGTGGACATTTGGACCTTCATTATCTCATTTGATTGCTCATTTTATAGATAAAAAAATTAAGACTCAGTGAGAAATGGAAGCTGCCTCTGGCTACACACCCTTTATCTCCGTGGACACTTAAAATGCCATCTTTACTTCAACCTTACCGCTTTCCTAAAAAAAAAAAAAAGTGTGATCCTAGCTGTAAAACTCAAGATAGGCTGGATCTAGGAGGAAGCCTGGGTGGAAAGAAAGAGAAAATAGGTAAGATTAGGTACAACCTTGTTGAATGAAAGGAACTTAAGAAAAGACCAACAGATTCAAATCTTCAAAAATATACAGAAAAAGGAAATGAGCACAATGTAGACATAAAGATTTTTTTTTAATCAGAGATGGAAAGAAACATGAAAGCATGACGAGACCTGAAGAGTTACCCTGAAATGCCCCATGTTCCACGTGAAAACCTCCTCATTCTCAGACCTGTGAGAAATCAGAAGAAACTGACTTAAAGGTTCCAGAAAGACAAAGTCAAAGTCAAAGCAACGACTGACAAGAAATGAGCACAGTAAAGGAAGTGCATCACTCCACTTTATGCAGGCCAAACATTTCAGCAAGGGCAAGCGGAAAATAGCCCCTTGAGATCAGATCCTGATGACCTCAGTTAGCAATGGGGACCATGTAAAGAGGGCACTTTATAATTCAGGAGGCCCCAGTCTGTTTCCATCTTGCCTATAACAACTTGGAAAATTCAGACTGAATGAGTCCTATGCATACTTTCCATTTCACAATCCCCACTTCCCACCACCATTTATAAGTGGCTGGGGAAGCCTGTCTACCCACCTTGCCTACTGCTTAACTAAATGGCTCAAAATTCTAAGCCAGTAAAAGAAATTTGAAAGTCAATTTCCAATCCCTGACTACTCTAAGAAGGACGATTTATTTATAAATCCCCTAATGTGTACAGTTAACAGCTAGATTCAAAGAGGCAAAAAATATTAAAACCTTCTTCCTATCAACTCCACCAAGTTCTTTCTACTACATTTTTTTCAATAATAAAGGAGTATTGTATTCCTAACACTAGCAAAATAACTAGCAAATAGTAAATATTAAGCATTTGATTAACAAAATGGAAGATAATATCACCTTGTTTAAAAAGCATCCTACTATTAAAGAAGAGTCTACCTTAGTCGTCTCTATCTTAACACTAAAGACCATCAGTCAATATCCTTATACCCAAGTCTTCAGCTTAGTCAAAAAAACAGCAAGACTTGCAGAAGGCAAAGGCAAAAGAGCCTGACAAGGAGAGCCATGAGAGAATCAAGAATACAACATTTCTGCTGTTACCACTGCTGCTCCCCTCACCACCCACCAAACCCAGCACCACATGCTGGCCCAGGGTCCATCCCAATGCACCCACCCAGACAACCCCCTCAGGACACACAACAGCACCTTCCACTGGGACAAGGCGTTGGTTGCATGCACACTGCTTCACCTCCTGCCAGAGTACTGGGATGCAGAGACAGTGCAGACCCAGAGGATCCCAAAGCACCAGCTTCACGTGACAACGTGGCAGTCACACGTGACACTCTGAGACACCAAAATGACCATCACCAGAGGCGATTCACAGAGACCAGGAGCATCCTGTCCTCTGGGAAGCTGTGGTGGCCAGACCAGGCAGTGTGGGCTCCTCCATCTGTACTTCAGGCACAAGCTGCTGGGCACTGGAGAAGAGGGCAGCACAGTGGGCACCCTCTACGGCAAGATGCACAGGAACTTCATGGAGGAGGCAGACTCTGGATGCCTCTGGAAGGAGCATCTCTACCTCCTGGAAGCTGGGCTGCCTCCCACCTCGCCATCACCTTTATTATCTGTACTGACCAGGCTGGACAGCAGTGGGTACAGTGTGTCAACAAGGAGTCCCATTCATTCCAAAGTAGGCTGTCCCTGCCAAGGCCAAGGGAGGTCTTCAGAAGAAGGTCCTGTACCAGGTCAGCACAATTCCTGGCTATATCTTTGTTCATGCTAGTGGCTTCACTGGTGGGCACCACATCTGAGAAGACACCTTTAGCATGGCTTATGCTACCTTGGCCTCACACCCAAAGCATGTGCCTCCCACAAAGCCCCTGGCCCAATAAAACTTGTTCCAACTTGAAAAAATAAAAATAAAAAAGAAAGTGAACACAAAATTGCTAGTAAGAAAATGCTCAAAAATAATGAGGATGTACCAAAAGGACACAAAAGCCACTTGACAGAGCCCCCAATGACAAAAACTAGAACTGAGAAACAAAACAAATAATGATAGTATTTGAATTATATAACTCAAAAAATAAACAAAATACTTAAAATTCATACTGACATAAATAAACCAGTGAATTAATAAATAATTGGCGAGGACAGTACTTCCTTATGATAGAATTCAAGCTAACAAATATGGGAGGAATGAAGGAACCAAAAAATCACTCTAAGACAAGCACCAGGATAATAACAGTCGCAGGCAAGAACCATCAATGGATGCTAAAAGTATGATGAAAAACAGAATATATGCAAAGTCTCAAAGCTTTACTCTACAATGCACAGTACTTACTAATAACAAAGGGAAAGTCAATTAGCTTTATAGTGTAGAAACCTGGTATACACAATCTTACCCAAGTTATCAAAGTGAATATACTAGTAAAAGGACTTATGAATATCACGTATTCGCTGACATAATGCGCTGAGAATGTATGGCACATCTATACTCTTCTGGGGGGGGAATGCATTTCTTATGCTAAGAAAACATTAGACAAACCTATATAGGGACATTTTACAAAATAACTAGCAAGACTTTTCATTAAAAGTGTCAAGGTCATGAAAGATAAAGACTGAAAAAATATCACGGGTTGGGAAAACAAAGAAGACTTGATAACCAAATGTGATTTGTATTCTGGATTGGATCCTGTACCAAAAAAGGATACTAACGAGAAAACTGGCAAAAGTCAAATAAGACTTGCAGAACAGTTATTGTAAAACACTAATTTCCCGTAGAATTTTTGTAACTTTTCTGTAAATTTATTTCAAAATAAATTTTTTTTATAAAACACTTCTAGGTGTGAGATCTTGCTGTTTCAACCCCATTGTGAGAAACGACTCATTCTGGCTAGCTTTTATAATATTCACATTAAGAGAGTTTTACCAAATGATGTAAGATTCAGAATGTATTCACTGCTAGACTGCAGTAAACACAACAAGAAAACAAGTCAATGAATGGAAAACACACTTGCTAAAATCCACATGGCACACTGTTCACAAAGTGATAAACCAGGAAAAAGACATGAACATTCTGGTATTAAAACAATGGACTACAACACAAATAAAAAAATCTTGAAACATAAAATGTCAATAACTGGACAAAACCAACTGAATCAATATTGATAAATTACTGTGGTGTTCAATTTTTATGAACCTGGTAAGGATGATTTATTATTAGGTAAAGATTACATCGGTTGGGTATGGTGGCTCATGCCAGTAATCCCAGCACTTTTGGAGGCTGAGGCTGGAAGATTGCTTGAGCCCAAGAATTCAAGACCAACTGAGGCTACATAGTGAGACCTCATCTCAAAAAAAAAATAATAATAATCAAAAACTTTGCCGGGGACAGTGGTGTACACCTGTAACCACAGCCACTCGGAAGAATGAGGTGGAAGGCTCACCTGATCCAAGTAGAGGCTGCAATGAGCCAAGGTCATACCACTGCACTCCAACTTGGGCGACAAACAAGACTCACACTTACACACACACACACAAAGACTGAACTGGTTCTGGTACATACCCAGATTTCAAGTCAGTTATCCTTAAACAGTTTGTAGCATCCAGTCCCACTTTTCCATTCCGGACCACGCTAGATATGAATGGGGAGAGCAATGGAGAAATTCGGTTCAAGGCCACTTCTGGGGACATTTTAACTTGACTTGTAAGTCACCACTGAAAGCAGAAGGAAAGAATGGTGATCAGAGTTTACAAAGGAACTAAATGCAACAAGCTTCTTGAAAACTAGCACATCACACAGTAGTTTCTTTTGCATGAATGAATACTTTATTTCCCATCATTAAAGCAGCCTCTTCCAATGACCCTCCAGAACAGGAGTCTCCAACCCACAGACCATGAACTGGTACCAGTCCAGGGCCTGTTAGGAACAGACCACAAAGCAGGAGGTGAGTGGAGGGAGAGCGAGAGAAGCTTCCTCTGTACTTACAGCTGCTCCCCAGTACATTACCGCCTGAGTTCCGTCTTCTGTCAGCTCAAGGGCAGCATTAGATTCTCAAAAGAGCGTAAACCCTATCATGAACCCTACATGCAAGGGATCTAGGTTGCACACTTCTATGAGGATCTCCCGCCTGATGAGGGGGAGCTGAGGCGATCATGCTGGCGCTAGGGAGCGTTGGTAAACACCAATGAACATGAGCAGTGAGGTTTGACTGCATAGAGCCCATGATAAATCCATGGCTCGCAGTCTCCTATCAAAGACCAATCAGTGAGTGGCAAGTGAGTTGATGGGTGCCAATTGTGCAGCCGTGTCTTGTGGCAGGCTCTAAGTCAGAATCCGACTCCTATTTTAGTCTGCCCCGGCCAGCCAATCATTTCATTGACCACTTCCATGCACACCTCTTTCCCTCTCTGTGCTCTTGTCCTCAGTCAGTTTTGGTAAGCCCACAAGCTAACCTAGCCCAAATGAGTGAAAAACAAACATCACTGGAGAGTTTCTTTGAAAAGGGGAAAAGACCCCATGAGGAGACAGCAGGTGACTGCCAACAAAAAGAAAGCGGCATTTAAAAGAAAATATTTAAATTGAGGGTTCATTGCAGCAGGTAATTCACATTTTTCCAGCCCTCTTGGTATAACATGTGGCAACTGCTAGCCAACCAAACCATGATACCTTCAAAACTGCTTCGCCACCTGGAGACCAAGCCCCCTGCATCACAAGACAAGCTTTTGGAGTTTGCAAAAGAAAAAGATGTGAACACAAAGAACAGAAGCAAGTATAGAAGGCCATCACTTCATTCGATGTGTCTGCATGGAGAGGCTCATTCTTAGCGGCTAACCGCACTGCTAAAGCTAAGAAGCCCTTTACTCTTGGTGAAGAGTGCATCCTGCCTGCTGTTAAGGACGTTTGTCATGAGCTTTTAGGAGAGGCTGCAGCTCAAAAGGTGGCACGTGTTCCCCTTTTGGCTAGCACCACGACTAGATGAACTGCCGAAACAGCAGAGGATATGGAGGCGCGACTACTAGAGAGGATCAGTGAGTCACTGTGGGATGAAATCCAGGTCGATGCGTCTACCTGACAACACAGCAGCAATGCTTGCTTTTGTGCATGTATTTTTCGGGAGGGTGTGCTTGAGGACATGCTATGTGCCCTTTTGTGACCAGTCAATACCGCAGCTGCAGAACTATGCAGGTCTTTGAATGATTGCATATCAGGAAAACTGAACTGTCATTTTGTGTTGGCAAATGCAAGGACGGAGCAGTTGCCATGACTGGACAGCTTTCTGGTTTCTCTACTTGGGTCAAAGAGGTCGCTTCTGAATGTGAACCTACACACTGTGTCATCCATAGAGCAATGCTGACTTGCTGAGAAACGTCACCTGAACTTAACAGCATCTTGCAGGATGTGATTAAAATTATCAACCAGGTTAAAGTACATGCCCTTAACTCATGTCTGTTTGTGCAGTTCTGTGAGGAGATGGTCACAGAGCACATATGTCCTCTCTTATACACAGAAGTACGCTGGCTTTCTATTTTTTTTTTTGAGTTGGAGTCTCACTCAGTCGCCCAGACGAGTGCAGTGGCCGCTCTCGGCCACTGCAGCCTCGCCTGCTAGGCTCCAGCGATCTTTCCGCCTCAGCTTTCTGAGTAGCCAGAATTACAGGCATGCGCTACCACACCCAGCTGATTTTTTGATTTATTGTAGAGATGAGGTCTCGCTGCCCAGGTGGGTCTCGAACCCACGGGCTCAGGCAATCCACTCACCTCAGCCTCCCAAAGGCACGGGATTACAGGCTGAGCCACTGAGCCCGGCGAGCTGGCTTTCTAAAGGTAAATCACTGGTTGGAATTTCTGAGTTACGAGAGCCACTCCAAAGATTTCTTTTGGAAACAGTCACCACATTTCAGTGACACAGAGTGGGTCGCAAAACTTGCTTACGAGTGTTCCATATTCAACCTGCTCAGCAAGTTCAATCTGTCACTTCAGAGGAGAAGGATAACTGTGTTCAAGTCGGCAGATAAAGTGGCTCCATTCAAAGCCAACCTGGAATTATGGGAGTGGTGAGTGAACACTGAGATGTCTGGCATGCTTCAAACGTTAGCAGAGGTTTAAAAGAGACTGAGCCAGGGCTGTCTTTCTCCCAACTGGTGCATGATCACCTATCTCAGCTTTCCAAAGAGTTGAGCATTACTTTCCAACCACAAAAGACCCCCAAACTGGGAAGGAGTGGATCCATGACCCATTTGTGAATAAGCCGGGTGAATCAACTTTGTCCTAGGACTGACTGCTTGAGATTGCACATGACAGTGGCCTTAAGAGTATATTTGTGACAACCTCAAATCTCCATACATTCTGGTAAAGTCAGAACGGGATAGCCTGAGATTGCCACAAAAGCACTGAAAAGCTTGTTTCCGTTTCCAGTATCCTGTCTTGTTACATACTATAAATTCTTTATTGTTGATATATTTTCTTCATAGCTGTCACTCCATGGTGTGTTATAATTACCTCCTTATGTGACTCCTTCCCTGCAGGGACTATGTCTCAAATCCCTAGAGTTTAACAAAAGAACCTGGCACACACTATGCACACATTATATATTTTTAAATAATAAATGAATAAGCTATAGAAAGATTTCAGTATGGAGAGAAGACAACTTGCCCTCAAAATATTTAGTAGAGGAATAGACGCAACAAAATCTGAGGGATCGATGTAGCAAAAATCTACTTAACAATTAAATCACAAAGACACACACCTATCCAGATACTAAACAACACAGACTAACATGAATCTTAAAGTCTTTGACTTTATAAGGCACACAGACGTTCTTACGCTCGAAAAGACAAAAGTCGAGCCAGTAAGTCATATTCACATTGCCCGGAAATTCATGGGGCTGGGGGAGTACTACATGAGTTCCTCTTAACAGATGTGTAAAGGAAAGTGCTACTTTCAGGGGTGACAAGGCAATTCTAATGATCATTGTCTTCCTCAATCTTAAAGAACAGTCACATATCAAAAGAAAATTAATTTCCAGGAGGTTACAAGAAAATGATGTTCTGGTTCCAGTTTTCATAGGTTAAACTGCATGAGGACCTAAAAGTTCCTGCCAAGGGAAGTGTCGAAGGGGAGAATCTGTTCTATCATTTCAGACAGTAATAAAGGGAAGGGCTGCGGCGATCTTTCAAGAAATAATGACACCGCGACCCTATAGAGTGATGATACCCCAGGACGCCTTTGAGACGGCAAAAGCTTTGCACGCCACACTTCAGTTCCCAGGTCGTCCCTCCCGCAAACGTCAGACGAGCTCCTCTCCAGAGCCCTCAACAGATGTCAACACGTCATTGCCAAGTGAGAACAAACGTCTACCGCGGGCCCTGCCAATCGCAGCGACCGTGCTCTTTCTCGCAACGCTGCGTCTCGCGCAAAGAGCATCCACGCACGTTACTGCCCTCGGTCGTCACAAGCCTGCGTGCTAATTCCCATTCTGCAGACGACATGAGTAAGCACCGTGATCTGATCCCACCAGAACCCGGTCAGGCAGCGGGCCCAGGCCTTTTTTCGGCTCTGCATCACTTCCCCCATTATTTCCGCCCACTGACGTCACGCAGGAGGGCGGCGTCTCTGAGTCACGTGCACAACAGAAACACACGTCCGGGGACAGGCAAAAGCTCTCCCCGCGCTGCGAAGCGGCTCTTCCGGGACGTCTTCCCGTGCCCCGTTATCGCCCCCCCACTTGCGTCCGAGCCCCAAAGGAGGGAGACGGGCCCGACGCGGGCTGAGCCGCTCCTCGCCGCTTGCTTCCCCCGACCCGTTCCCGCGGACAGCCGCGCCCGGCCACGGCGAGGAAGGCGACAGCGCAGCATAACAACCGGCCCAAAGCCAGGCTCTCCCCAGCCAGGGGGCGGGTGGGCCGCCAACCCGGAGCCTCCGGGCCCGCGAGAAGCGCGCGGCGGGGGCAGTCCCCGGCGCACGTGGTGCGCAGTGCGGACCGAGAGCCGAGGACCGCCCCGGAGACTCGTGACCTGAGGGCGACGCCCGAGGGGATCCCTCGGCCCCCGCTGCCGCGGCGCTCTGGGCACAGGGGGCGGTTCCGCCGCGCTTTCAACCGCGAGACGGGGCGGCCTCCTGGGCGGGGCCTCGGGACAGCCGCAGTCACCGGTCCCCGGCCCACGGGCGCGCCAGGACCGAGACCCGGCCGGACCCGCGCTCCGCGGCCTT